TAGGAATCTGCTCGTGAAGCTGTCGCTCCTCGGCTTTGGGAAGGCCGCTTCTTCTTTGTTCATGCGTCGTAGACGATTTTAAGAATCGTTGCAAGACATCACAAGTGCGAGGATCTTTGCAGGCAGCCCGAACTTACTTGCGGATCCCCAGGCCAACCTTCATTGAACCCTGCACACCTTCCATCCGACGCCTTGAACGCCCGAAGATCGGAAACATAAAACAAGCACTTCTCTCTGTTGCAGCCGAGGAGTCCAGATCCCGAAAGGCGCTTTCTCCATCCGCTTGGATCTGGAGTAGCTCCTTTTTTGCAACCAGTGCTTCTTCGGGCGGATGCTGAAACAATTTCCCCGTAGCTCGGCGTGTTTGGGCTATGGTACCAACCAACCCCCCCAAAAAAAACACAAAAAAAAATGTTCCAAAACCCGATGTGCCATAGCTCAGAAACGATGAAAAACTATTTATAGAACTTGGGTTAGGGTTTGGGGTTACGGGTGAAATATTCGCTTTACCTTATTGGAGTCTCCAACCATGTTGTACTCAAATGTACATACAATATACAACTGCTTAAGTATGGTATATACTTTATAGCTGTGCTGCTGCTGGCTTCAAGCGCAGTGGTTTGTCATGGTGCATTACGGTGTCTTCTCCACAAGAAAGCAACCGCTAACATTCCGGAGCAAAAGTAATCAAGTACGTTGATCTTGTCTGGTTTCGGAACAAAGTCAGGATCGTTTTGTAACAAGCGCTGGTGTGTTTGTGACTTCTCGTGTTGAGCTTGCTTGTGTTTTTATTTCGTACACGGGACATGGAACAAGCACGTGTTTAATTTCGTCCCTACACTTGTGCAGGATGAGAGGCCTTCTTGTCCTTGTTCTGCTCGTTGAATTCATCCTTGTGTCTTTGACGATGTATCGTTAGTCTTTGTATTTTCTCGACAAGCATTGCATGTCTTCCAGCTCCCTTCAAAAATAAGCGTCGTTTCTTTGACTGTATACTCTGCAGAAAAAAACTGAGCATTGAGAACGAATCACGCAAAAATTCAACATCATAATAAGAGCGCTTGCCATTGCAATAGCAATGCTTGAAACAACAACTGTCTGCTACTTGCTTGCAACGATAACATATTCTTCTCGTCACAACCACATCTGGTTCATACATGGTCCAAAATCAGCAAATTTCCCATCTACTTTTACTGGAAGTACCCTTAATGCAATAACTCTATGTACACTCGTAAGAGCTTTCCTTTTCAGAAGACAAGAACATAAACAAGCACTGGTTACTCAAGATTTAACGAGACACACAACGAACCGCAAAATTGCACACCCATGCTGTGCTTGTGAATCTGTAGAACACTTGAGGCGCTCTTGTGTTTGTTTCAAATTGTGTTGTTTGCCTAACGGATACTTGTCAATCCATACTGGAAGATTTTGCATTGATTCTACTTGCTTCTCCAATTTTTGTCAATTCACTCGCTTCTTCTGGTGGTATCTTGATCCCTCTTTGTCCTCATCCCGTGTCACCTGTTGCTATGTCTCCTGGTTGAACCACCATCAAAATAGTTTGTCTTAACATGTTTCGGCCATCTTGGATAACACCGCGACCCATGCGAAAGCTGCTGCGATTCGCAGTAATGTGCACCAACACATCATATCTTCAGCGTTTGCTGTCACAGCGGTTGTTGGCAGAACCTTCCGCTGGGCGCTTTGGTCGCTGCCACTTCCCATGAATGTCATGCACTGACGGGATTCAGAGACATATGAAGGCAACGTGGTGCACCTCGAGCGCGGGCTAACCGTTTCTTACAATTCCACCTAGCGTGTGCCAAAGTGCTTGGGGAAAAACTAGAACTCTATAATCTATAACTCGAATACCGTAAACGGAGGTTCCGGTCGAACTCCGGATCAGGTGCGAAAGTCTCCTCCCCCGCGAGGTTGGAGCAAACGATCCGAAGCAAGTCGCCCTCCTTGCATGTGATCTAGGGTCGCAGGGGCAACGGCATTTGTGGATTGTAATCATGTCGCAGGTTTTGGGGGTTTGAGAGTTTTGGTCGCATGCGGTTTAGCAAGGATTGGCGATGATTGGCGGCTAAAAGCGCTGCGCGGTCTCGCAGGGATTGGCACCTACCAGTACTTGACCGAAACTCTACGGAAGTTGCTGCCTGTGTCCGGCCCTGGCGAACCGCGTCACGAGTCTCGAAGCGCAACCCTCACTTCCCTAAACCCAACCCCAAACCCCTTTTCTGTGCGACGCGCTACGTCCTGGCGCGAAACCCCCACTCGCGACCCTGGTGACAGACCTGGTGTTACCCCGCTGGCCGATTCTATAAGGTTGCGGAACTAGTGGAGTCAGGATGACCCCCACGGGATAGCGTCCAATCGCACGCGCATCTTACACAAACTCTAATTACACGTTTAGTTTGGAGGCGGAAACAAGAGAAAGTATGAGGCTTGGGGGTGTGGGTTTGACTTTTCGATGATTGACACTCAGACTCGGACAAAGCCGGGCTTGGGGGTGTGCGAGGTTTAGAGACCCGGCGTTTCCGGTTGTGGGAGCTTGATGATTCCGTCTTAGCAGACACAGTCCACATGCGCTCCCCGTTGAATTGAAAAAGAAGAAGGCTTGCGCTGTGGGTCTGTGAGCTGGGACCAGGGTTGGGTGCTTTACATTACAGCAGCGAGACGAAGGAGGAAACTGAAACAAGGATACCAGATTGGCCCCTGTGCTTGTTACTACAACTCTGCTCTCACAGATTCATAGAAGCTACTAATCTGCGTCTGATGTCTGCCCACCCAAGTGCCATGAGATCCCGAGGCATCAACCCTCACTTCAACAGTACCAAAGTAGCGATGGGAACTTCTTCGCCCCTCTAGCCGGCTTTGCTCATATTCCCTTGCGTTTCGGGAGTCTTACAAACTTAGGTCTCCGCGGATCATCTGCCATGTTTCCAAGCCATCAGCAGCAACGCAAAGAGGGGCGACGCCACGGTCATGGAAAAAGAGACGGCGCGCCTTTACGGGAATGGTGTCTTATGCCCTCAGTCTATTCTTATCGGATCCTTAAAGGAGGGTGGTTCAAGCGGGGAGGGTCCTAGGGATCCTTAGGGAGCTTTACGGAGCGTAAGGGAGCCCTAGAAAAAATTGGGGATTATTGGGTTATATACCCCTCTTAGAACCCCCTCCCTTAAGGATCCCATAATATTCTCTTGCTCCCCAACACCAGCACCAGAAACCCGAAAGCCTGAGCCGTGTAAACCGTAGCCTGTGCCCTGCCCTGAACCAAACTTCGGCCTGAACGATAACTTTTCTTCGAACCCCAAACATAAAATGGCAACAGCTCTCCACAGCGAATCGAATAAAGCTTTTCCAACAAATCTAGAAGAACTTCTGGGGCAGAGTCCCAATTGAGCTTCTCCGAAGATGACGCCAGACGTTTGAGGAATTGTGCTCACTTCTCGGCAGATGTGTTCCAATACTCGCCCATGTCCTTGCAAAAGCGGACAACGAAAGTATCAGCTCAACGTTCTGAGCTGATTTGCTCTTTTCAAGCTGCCGTCCTATGGCATTTCCCTTCTATACAGCCTTGGGCTTGGTCGGCGCGTATTTTCATCCCGGTAAACCGTTGTGCTGCAAAAGTTGCAGATGACCACCCCCAAACTGGCCCCAAACAGACAAAACGTAAGCGAAACGACTCGTAAACGCGAATAGCAAAGAATTGCGAGAAGGCCTGGACACGGCTGATGATATCATCGGCACCATGATAAAAATCTCGACAAACCCGAAACCTGGAGAGCTTAAGTCTCGAACCCTTATAGTATGAAACTAGATCCTGAAACCCTACACTACACCTAAACCCTTAAGGTTTCGTAGTGGTAGTCGTAATCATATTTTCGTAGACCTCTCCCCACACGACCTTGGAAAGCCAGGCCGTCGGATCGCGCTCGTATTCCAGAGTGATATCGGCGTCGTGGCCGCAGAAGCACATCTCCTGCTCGTTTGGGTGTAGGGCGGCGAGCATAGTTTCGGGAATGTTAAGGAGTATGTTCAGAGTTGACATGGCTGAGGGCCTCAAATTCGTGGACCAGGTTGTTGCCAGGTTTTTTGATGGAGCAAAAAAGGAACAAACGAAACCCAAACCATCGCATGCCATTGCTGTAAGGTCGAAACACTTTCATCAGGCGTCAGCAACAGATGTCGTCATCTTCTTCATGCTCAGTACCATCACAATCATAGCACTGCCAGTCCTGGCAGTGGTCAGCACTATCACGCGACGTCGCCATCGTTACAGGCAACCCACCTTCTATAAAGTTGACACCCCCAGCTTCGATTCCACTGGAAACTTCAGGAAGAGCTTACATCGATGCAGTACTGAGCTGCTTGGACGCATAGGCCTAGGACTAGGATTTGTGAGCATGGTTCGATTCACTGTAAGATTTCAAGCGTCTTATTGAGCTGAGAGGTTGCGACTTGGACCGGGACCGGGGTATTCTCAGTCCACGAGGACTCCCAAGCTGAGGCCACACCCGTCGGCCCGGTTTCTGGAATCATGCAGCATCACTGCAAGTGATAGCTCCTTATACGCCCCGGCAGCTGTTGACCCCTGACATTGTCCGGCCAGGGCACTTCTGTCCCGTCTCGCGGCACAGGCTTCTGGCCTGCTTGAGCGTCCTCCACGGCGACGCGCATAAACGCCAAACAGTGCGTGAACGACCTGCCTCGCATTTTCAGTGAGGGAAATCATGTAAAACAACAACCCCCTTTCTCACTCCGGGTAACGGAGTTTTGGATCTGGGTTCTTGGGGGCTTGGAAGTACGGACAAGCCTGTCAGGCTGAAGACACATTCTGCCCACCGCAATCCCACATTTAAGAAGCTACTTGCAAGAAGAACACACCTAAATTAGGTCACAAAGGCAGCAAGGCTCAGCAAGGCCCAGCCAGGTTGCTCGGACTCCAAATATCCCGGATGCCGCAAGCGCAGGCGCCGCCTCCAGCCTGCAAGGACTGGCGGATTGGCCCGTTGTAGTGGCTAGCGGCCCTGCATGGCCTTCGAGCAGCTACTGGCGCTTCGAGTTTGGGTGTTTTATGCTTTTTTCTTCTGGGATTGGGGCTCTTGCATGTATCGATTCGAGCTGTTTCAAACGTGCTTACCTTCATGCTCCGCCTGCCGTTGCCCCTCCCGAAGGACAACTTGAGACTTCAACTCGCAAAAACCTTAATTCTATGCCGCGGGCTATGTACCCCAAAAAAGCCAAACGCGCACACAGTTCTTGATGGATCACAGCACGCAGACGCCGAATGTGCACCAGATGTCACCTAAGCGGTTTCCCAACACCCCAACACCCGATCAAATCCCACAGCTATCAGCCAACCCTCCCCCCCCCTCCCGAATGCAAATCTTTGAAAGCCCTTGAACCCACGCCTGCCCGCCCCAAACCCCTGGCGTATCCCCAGAACCCTCGTGGCCGAGTGTCGTTCAGTAGTGGATGGTGAACAAGGGCCTCTGCACAGCACCCCAGCACCAGGTCGTGACAGTTCCACCATTCCTGAGACAGGTTTCAGGGTGTGAGATTCAGGAGGTTGGTGGTGCGGGTTTAAGGAAATCTTGAGGTTTGGCTGAAGCGTCCTCTAATGAAGGTCCGCTTTATGCTCTCAAGGTCCAGCGATTCAGGGCTCGGCAACTTCAGGGTGCTGTTTCTATACGAGCTTCAGATGATTTGCACGAGAAGCAGAACCGTTATTGCCCTGACCTGTCCCTGAGGTTTGAGAGACCTAGCAGACCTAGCATATGATTCAATAGACTCCAATAGACATTTCAGGATTACGGGAGGTGTATAGACAGAAACCCGTTTGACGGGGTCTGGAATGAAAGCTTATTGTGGCCGAGCGGGTTATCTACACAGCTCCTGCTGCGACTACCAGTCTACTACCAACGTCGACTATTTACTGTTACCACCACTACTTCCATTACCTCTGATGCGACGAAGTGTCGTTCTACTTAAGCACGCCCATTAAACTCTACGCGCAACAACTATTAACAGTCCTGATGAAGGCCTGAAAATCGCTATAAGGCTATAAACTCAAAGCCTAAAGCCCAGTGTGCAATGCCACAAAGACCCGAAAAGACAACTGCAAAGAGAGCATCTCTGTCGACCGACTCCTCCGGCCTTTCCGGCCGCTCCTCTCCGTCCTCGCTTCCGTCTTCTCTGAACCAAACCTTCAGCTCCTGCACACGGACACGAAGTCTAAAACCGAATCATTTTCTATGCTAGAAGTATAAACCGCCTGATTGAGCATCTCAGTCTATTGGTCCTGGCCGGTCTTCTGCGTGACCCTGCCCTTCATGCGTCGGCCATCTTGAGTGCTGGCCGGAATGAGGAAAATCCACCAGCCGACCTCAACCTTGATCGGGTTAGGGTTTCAGCATGCGCAATCGGCTGCAACGAATATTACTTGATCAGGCGTGCAACGAGCCGAACCCGACCGAAAAGCCGCAGGTGTAAGGTGAAGGCTGCGAAGGCCTTACAGAGTCTTCCGATCTACTTCTGACACCGAAAAAAAAACAACTGCAAGATTCACCTCGAAGAACTTCGAACAAGTAGCTACTCGTCAAGTGAATCATGTCACGTAACTTCAGAACCTGTCGCGGACGCTGGATATCTGCAGCACTCCGTCAGGCATCGGAGTGGCAATGTTCGGAATTACTTAATGCAGTTTGAGTTCGTGTTCGACATGGTAGCTGAATTCTGCACTACTTGGGAGAACACCTATATTCACCCTGTCTCCATGCCCTACATCAGCAGAGTCTAAAAGAAAAGTGTCGTCAATATCGCGAACCATGCAGGTCGTTAGAGTGGTAATGCGGTGAAGACAGTGATAGCGGTGGTGTCGTTTTGCAGCTGGCTTCGCCGTCGCGGCGGTACCTGTGTAGTGTTCTGCCCTATGACTACATGACCCTTTGAATTTAGCAACACCCCACCTCGTCCCAGTTGACCGGGAAGCCAACAAAGCGCGCAGACCCATCGAACTTCGGCGGCTGGAATGGGTAGGCCGTCCTGC